AGGCAATCACAGCTTCCAGCGTGGGCACAGGGATGCGCTGCAGCCTCAGGCTCTGTCCCCGCCGGCTCGGCAGGGCTATCCGCTTCCCAGACATCCCAGTGGCCCAGGCCATCAAAGCCACCCGAGCTCTCCGTCCCCCGTGCAAGGGAGTTGCCAGCCAGCTGAATCCATGCTCCAGCCCCGCTCCAGAAAAAAGCCTTTCCTCACACTCTGGGCTTGAAGGGGAGAGGCCGTGCAGTTTGCAGGGGGACAAACCTCGGAGACACGTGGGCAGGACCCGGCCAGACGCCCCTTCGTTACCATCCTTGGGGCGAGTAGAAACGGGGGGTGTCCCTGGAAGAGGGTGGCCAAGCCCGGGAGTCAGGCCAGCCGTCACCAAGGCTCCGGCAGCAGGATGGACATGCCCATCGTCTCCTCGGTACGGCACGCTCCTGAGCAAGCGGCACCACGCTCGCTCCGTGCCGGGAGGAACTACCTGGGACTCACAGCCCTCCCCTGGAAACGGAGCGGGAGCTGTTGGCAAAGCGCAGGAAAGCAGCGCAACTTGCCGTTTGCTGCCCCGAAAAGGCTGCTTCGGAGGGGAACGGGCTGTTCGACAGTAGCTGTGCGGAGCTGATGCCAGGCAGGGAAGGATTGCTGCACAGGGAGAGGGAACAAGACAGTGTAGAAAATACAACACCCAGGGAACAGCCGCCTCGTTTTGCCGGCTGACTGACATCTATTGTTTTGTGCAGCAGGGAGAGTAAAAGAGAAGGGAAAAAAAAAGCTTTCATTCCCACTTTTATAGGTATAAAGAGTACAAGAGCCAATCCTCGCTGCTGGCTAATTAACTAACAATTTGAATGCCTTTGAGAAGAGACATCTGCATATACAAACCATCTCTCAGGCATTATCTGTAGAAAAGTTCTGCGTGAAAAAAAATTAACAGTAGATGCCTTTTAAGGCTTCTTGATGTCCCCAAACCTCCTCCTCATTTCCATCCCCCTCATTTCCCCTGTATCCTACACTACACAGAGCGAGCTACTTCCCCTTCGTTCAGCTCCTGGCAGCAATAATGAAAACAGAGCAACAAATCTCCAATTGTTATTGTTTTCTCTGAAAAGCCCCATGAATGCAAATCTATAAAAGCTGCCTCATGAATGGAAAAATCTGAAAGTGCCTTCCCTTGTCGAGCGGCACTTTGGCCGGCTACACGGCCCCCCCCCCCCGCCTATCTGCGCGGCGCAGCCTGGCAGCGCGGTTGGGCAGATAGCAGCTTGGCTGGAAGATAATGGCTCCCCGGGGCATGAAACGCCATAAGGTTCGACCCGTCTCATTCTCCCCAGCCAGATTAGCGGGTGATGGCCACGCGCCCCGTCGCAGGGCGTCCCATCAGGACGCACCCCGCCGCCGGGCAGGACACGGCCTTGCCACGCCACCCAGGCAGGCGAGTCACGGCTTGCGACAGCTCTTGTGCGGAAAGTGAAGTTGATAATTCATTTGTGATGCTACTTCAGCCTCGCCCCCTCGTTACGGTGAATTTAGCGGGTGTTCCAGGTCGTGGGTAGCAGTACTAATCTCATCGCATGTGATTGCCAGAGCTCTGCAGTACGTGCAGCTGGTGTGACTGCAGTGAGCGTCGCAGCACAGCCTTCCTGCCTCCTCCCGACGCAGCAAAGGCACACTGTGCTGGTTTGGGTCAGCAGAGGCTTAATTTTCTACACAGTGGCTGGTATGAGGCTGTTTTGTGGAATTGCCCTGAGAATAGTACTGATAACGGAGATTTAGTTGGTTCTGGGGAGTGCTGGCACCAATTCAAGGTCTTTTGCAGCTTCTGATACTCATTGTGTTCCCAACTTTCTCACCCCAAGCAGTGGGGGGACACACGGCTCAGACAGCCAACCCCAACTGACCGAAGGGGGATTTCATTCCCTAGCACGGCACGCTTGGTATGTAAGCCGGGAGTGGGCTGGGGGGCCATAGCGTGCTTGTTTGTTATCTCACTAGCTTGTTTGCTTGTTCGTTTGGTTCATTCGTTAGTGAGTTGGTGGGTCAGTTGGCTTTCTCGGTCACTCATGGGCTCGCTCAGACTCAGCTGCCATCACGCTCGGGCTCTCTGGCTCTGACTCTGACTCTCACTACTTGGGACCTAGCTGTGCATTGGTTGGTGGGTGGTGAGCAACTGTATCATATGTTTAATTTTCTATTATTTTAATTAGAATCACAGAATCACAGAATGGTTTGGGTTGGAAGGGACCTTAAAGACCATCCAGTTCCACCCCCTGCCATGGGCAGGGACACCTTCCAT